ACATTTTCGCACGAAGAAGGAATAAAATTGTCTTTGGTTTTTTGAAATGCAATAATTTAGTTATTTTTTCATAAAAAGTGATCATTTTAAAATTGAAACATCGAATATAGGTAGTTATCAGCATTTTAAAATAAAAAGTTTTATAATTGGTTAACAGGTTTGAATTATCTGATGGTTCACCAAAGAGGAAAAAAGATTCAGGTGTTGTTAGCAATATCGAAACAAACAATTTAGGTCTCGATAATTTAATCACCTTAAATTCTCCGATTTCGCCAAGTCCTCCTCCTAAGAGTAATAAACCAAACTCATGATAATCGTAAAGACTCGTTACTACCAACGCTACAACCTCCATCTCGAATTGTACGACTTCCAAAAGAGTATTTTCTAACCCACCTGCAATTGTGGTGCAAGTTCCTCCAAACCCTCCGGCTGCTGTAATTGTTGATGATCCATCAACTTCTAATCAGCTTGTTGTTGTTGCACGTCGCAAAACAGTTTTTATATCCAGACTTAATCCTGAAACTTCTATCTTTAATATCCGTAATTATATGAAATCTAAGTTACGTGACGTAAGCGATAATGATTTAAACATCTTTAAATTTAACTCGTCTCAGGAGCGCGACATTTCATCGTTTAAAATAACAGTTCCTAATAGACTTTTTAACACTGTTGTTAGTAGTTCGTTTTGGCCCGATGATATATTGGTAAAAGAATTTGTTTTTAGAGAATTTGTTTTTAGAAATAAGTCTGTAAACATTGTAACTGCTCCAAAAAACTAAATGAAGTCTGTCCGATTCTTTATCAAAATGTAAGAGGATTAAACACTAAGCTTAGAGATGTTTTCCTTAAAAGTTTCTTTTCTGAATATAAAATAATTGCTTTCACTGAAACGTGGTTAAAACCTGATGTCCTGGACACTGAGTTATTATCTGATAATTGTCAAGTCTACAGAAAAGATGGATTATCGAAAAAAGGTGGTGGAGTTCTAATAGCAGTTCATAACTCGATTCCTTCAGAAATTATTGATGTCTCAGCGAATCCTAATATCGAATTTATCTGCGCAAAATTAAATATCATTGGTAATACCATTTTCTTAACTTGTTCATATATTTCACCTAATTCTGAACTTGAAATTTATCTTAACCATGCAGATTTATTTGGGCATCTTGGACCTCAGGTGACAATATTCTAGATTACATACCTCTGACTTACCCAACAGGTTTTGATAACTTTTGGGATAAGATATTTGAGCTTTGTCTGTACCAAGTAAACCATGTATTAAATGTTAAAGACAGGCTGTTAGACTTAATTTTTTCGTCTTCATTGAATATTTCAATTTCTAGTTGCTCTCCCTATGTACTCCCTGAAGACAGTTATCACCCTACACATTCGATAAACCTCGAATTAAGAAACGCTTCCCTTAATTCTAAATCTGTTAATGCTTCTATTGATAGGCGAAACTTTGGGAAAACAAACCTTATTAAACTGCGCTCTATTTTATCTAACACTGTATGGCATCTAAGTGATGACATTGACTTATGTGTCTCAAAATTTTATGAGCAACTTAATTTTGCATTATCTAGCTCTGTACCTATAGCAAAACAAAATTTAGATCAGGGTCCTGCTTGGTTTACCCCTTCACTGAGACGTTTACGTAATTTGAAAAGCAGATTATTCAAAAAATTTAAAATGTCGAATACTGCACTGAACTATTCAAAGTATTCTTCCGCAAGGAGTAGATACAACTCTGAAAACTACAAATGTTATTCCCAATATTTAATAAAAATGAAACAAAACTTGTTACATAAACCCAAAAACTTTTTTAAATTTGTAAATTCCAAAAGGAAGGCACATAAATTTCCCAGTAGTATGAAACTTGCCAGTAGTGAATCTTCTGACAACTTAGTGATTTCTAATTTATTTGCTGAGTTTTTTAATCTTCTTATACCCAGAATACTTTTAATGGTTCTTACAGCTATAATATTGAGAAATTAAATCATTTTCCCCGTATTATCCTGACAGATGACGAAGTTTTCTATGGGTTAAGAACACTACGCTTCTCATTCTCTCCAGGCCCTGACGGCGTTCCAACGTACATTTTAAAATTTTGCGCTAGTGAAATTTCTGTACCTCTCACAAAATTGTTTAATTTCTCCCTATCTAAAGGATATTTCCCATGCTTTTGGCGATCGAGTTTTGTTATTCCCCTGCATAAATCAGGAAATAGGAGTGTCATCAGTAATTATAGGTGTATCGCTAAATTAAGCGCCATTCCTAAACTCTTCGAACTTTTGGTATCACGAAGAATATTACACTACGTAAAAAGCATAATTTCACCTTGTCAACACGGTTTCATGAAAGGTAGATCTACAATTACTAATCTGTTAGAATTTGTTTGTCAAGTTCAAAAAGGTTTTGTGAATAAGCAACAGACTGACGTTATTTACACTGATTTTAGCAAAGCTTTTGATACGGTAGTTCATAAGCTCTTGCTTCAAAAACTAGACTTAATGGGTTTCCCAACATCACTTTTAAACTGGATATCCTCCTACTTACATAATCGTACACAAAGAGTTATTTTTAATGATGTCTCTTCGAAGAATATCATTGTTTCATCAGGTGTACGCCAGGGAAGTCACTTGGACCCATACTGTTTGTTCTTTACCTAAATGACCTTCCAAAGGTAGTTCGTTTTTCCAAAATTTTAATGTACGCTGATGATGTGAAGCTTTTTCTTCACACAAATTCACTTAGTGATCAAATCTCTTTACAATACGATTGATACTCACTCGTAAACTGGTGTAGTACAAATGGTATGACCCTTAATCTAAAGAAATGCAAAAAGTTGTCTTTCTTTCGATCCCGACCTTTATTATCTAATTACTTTATTGGCTCCCACAAATTGGATAATGTTGATTCGTTCGTTGATTTGGGCGTAATATTAGATCCTAAGCTTCGGTTTCATTTGCATATTGATTCTTGCGTTAATAAAGCGAAATCATCAAGCGCTGGTCTAAAGAGTTTGATGATACGTAACTAAAAGGTTATTTGTTAGCTTAGTGCGTTCTGTATTAGAATATGGCTGTATATTGTGGAGTCCATTTTATAAATTTTACTCTGATGAAATTGAATCAGTACAAATTCAGTTTTTAATTTTCGCTTTACGTGGTTTAAACTGGAACGTTTCCGAACCTCTTCCTCCTTATGAGAGTCGGTTACTGTTAATTGACCTTCCATCACATAAAAGAAGACGTTTTATGTTAAGAGCACTATTTATCATTAAATTAGTACGCGGTCTCATTGATTCTCCATTTCTTATAGGTGAAATATACCATAATGTTCCTTCTCGCAGGACTCGTAATTTCGAACCCTTAAAATTATAGTTTGCGAGAACTAACTATGAGCTTAACAACTCTATGAGGTCACTTTGTGTTATTTATAACAGTTTATTTAACATTATTTGCTTAAGTAATCCATTAAATACAATAAATAACTATGTTCTACATATGAAATTTTGTTTGTTTAATGAGTATTCGTTAATTGTTTCATGTCTTTGTCTTAATTCTCCAAACTCATTTTACGGCATCTTATATACATCTCCCCAAGCGGAACTAGTAGAACTCGCCTTTGAGTAATAGTTGTAAACAGTAGATTGAAATTCTGTTATAAATTACTAAGCTGTTTGATCATCTGGCACTTAATCTACATTTCCCTTTGCGGTACAGTAGACACAGCCAATGAGCAGCGATTTTTAAAATCTGTACCTTGTTAACTTTGTTTACTAATCTGTGTGTCTGTTATTTTTGTTCTTTTATTTACTGGCTGATGAAATTTCTGTAGCCGGTGCGAAACCATTGCTAACCCGCATTAGTCCGGACTTTGGTGTGTACGCGCTCTCTACGTATAGGGAGGTGGCCCCCTCGGTCGGCAGGGGCGGGTGTGAGAGGCGTGGGAACGAACGAAAAAAAAAATAATGATTTAAAATTTATGTAAAAATATATTACAGTAGACACAGCCAATGAGCAGCGATTTTTAAAATCTGTACCTTGTTAACTTTGTTTACTAATCTGTGTGTGTCTGTTATTTTTGTTCTTTTATTTACTGGCTGATGAAATTTCTGTAGCCGGTGCGAAACCATTGCTAACCCGCATTAGTCCGGACTTTGGTGTGTACGCGCTCTCTACGTATAGGGAGGTGGCCCCCTCGGTCGGCAGGGGCGGGTGTGAGAGGCGTGGGAACGAACGAAAAAAAAAATAATGATGTAAAAATATATGGATTTAAAAAAATAATATGAAGAGTTCTTAAAATTTTAATTTTGTATTTTAGTATTTATCCTATTCTAAACTGTATAAAAATAATCCAGTCTCCTGGTGAGGTCACCTTCCTAACCTTTAACTTTGACTAAAAGTAAAACATGGTTTAGTTTAATATTGTGGTCAAAACATTCAAAAATCAGGAAGTAACGCCATATGGGGGCTTGCCGGAAAGAGATTATAAATATCTCCAAATGAAGCGAACTTCAAACACCAAATTCGAACTTCAAATACAAAGTTAATATACCCTCCATAGTATGGTGGAGGGTATAAAAACGAGATAAATAAAACGTAATAAAGTTGGAGTATTGCATTGAACCATTTATAATTTTTTTACTAAAAGAAATTGGGATTTTTCTTGACAGAGTTCTTACCGCTTGTTACAATAGTTATTTTGCAAGCAAGTGAAAGAAGAAAGGAAAGAAAGGAAATAGTCCGTGAATGCATAGAGGGCATGTTTTAAGCAAGGAAGAAGAAGGTATACATATATGAATAGGTGAGCGGTAATGTCAAGATGCATGTGAGTAAAATCTGTGAAAAGGGATCAGGAAAACCAAAGTTGCCAGAACAGGGATATTTTACTTTCACCCATGATTTATAATAATAATTAACTACGTTTACAATAATAATTAGCAGTATTAATTTTATTAATTAATGTCAACTTATTGCGTTCTATTTTTATTTCAGAACTCACAAATTAAAATGGATAGAGCAAAATTTATCAATAAAACCCTTGAATTTTGACCCAAAAAGACGACCACGGCGACAAGACTGGAGAGGTGAACTCGAAGAAACCGGAATGTTCTATTTTTCAAATAGACTATTAGTCAGTAAAAATCTACTTCAAAGCGAAAGGTAACTTTTAAAGCATACAGTCAATATTGAAAGTCAAAGCTGATATTAAATTTTGTTTAAAAAATGTTCGCACGGCATTCTTTTCGAAATTGATTTTTGGTTTTCTGAAATAAAATAATGATTTACCAAGTATAAAGGGTTAAGTCCGTCATGAGGCCTTTGAAAATAAAAGTATCTGTATTTAATATTCGAACTAGTTTGATTTTTTTCAAAAAAAAAAAAAAAAAGAGTTTAAATACCAAATTTGGAAGTTTTGTTACAAAACATGCCAAAAATATCAAATATTCGGAGATACAGCAATATGGGAGATATAAGATAACATTAACTTCTTTAGACAACCTTTTGCCACAGGCTGACCCCATTTCAAACTCTACAAACTGACTATTGAAAGATTCCGATGAAAAAATGTGGCTATACTAAATATCGGTGCGTACCGTTATACGGGGTCTTTAGAAAAATGTGGAGTTATATAGACAATGTTCTGATAACAGCACTTAGCGTGTTTCTCCGTTCTAATACGAATTTACAGGGTGAGATAAAAAAACTGCAACAAACAGGTAAAATTTTTCCATTGACAGCTCATTATTTACAAGCCTATAAAAGCATTTTGACGAAAATTTTCCAGAAAAAAATTATTCGTGATGGAATTCAAGCGTGATAGTGTGATTTCTTTATATTTGGCAAGAAAACCAAGTGGCTATCGTTAGAGCACTCCAGCATTTTAATGTGAATAAATCTTTTGTGTCTCGTACCATCGCTCGTTACCGCGATACTAGTAGCGTAGTCAGGTGTCAAGGAAGTGAACGGAAGAAAACAGCAACATCCGCAGAAATGTTTCGAAAATTAAAAAAGCGACTTGTTCGAAAAATTCCTCGTGAGCTGAACATATCGCAATATTCCATTCGACAAATATTGAAAAATGAACTCGGGGTAAAGCCAATGAAATTCCAAAAATTGCAAGAACTTACACCGCAGCTTAAAGAAAATAGACTCAAAAGAGCTAAAGAGTTGCTTCGCTTGGCCGATAGTGGTGAACTGCCGAATTTTGTTTTCTCCGATGAGAAAACATTCGTTGTCCAGCAGTTTGTAAACAACAAAATGATCATGTTTACTTACCAAAAATGTCAGCTGAAATTGTGCCCCTGCGGTTGGCCACCAGAACTCAAGGTAATGGTGATGGTGTGGGCCGCCATAACAGCCGATGGTCGCCCTCCGTTCGTATTAATCGACTGTAGCATCACAATAAATGCCAAATATTATCGCGAAAATATTCTTGGACTCGCAAACATTTTGGCAGCACCATCGCACCACCAAAATCTCCAGATACCAATCCGTTGGACTATTGTGTATGGAGTATTTTGGAAAGCAAAGTTGGCACTAAGCAAGTAAAAAATATCGGTCGGTTTTGTCGACAGATGTATACCCTCAGCCTATGTTCAAATGTTTAACACCATATTAGTAATTTCGTATCGAACCAAAATAAATATGATATATATAAATATGACGATATCGACTACTTCCTTCACTTTACATGACATAGGGTAAATGTACCAGTAGTCGTCACTTTTAGGATTTTCGATTTTTCAATCTTTCAACATTCTGAGTGAAATCTTTTAATTGCAAAAAAATAAAGTTGTTCAGTTTCCCAATTTTTTTTAGTTTTCGAAATAATAAACAAAATTTGTTTTTTTACTAAATTGGCAAAATTTGCAATTTTACTAAAATAGTAGTTTTTTGCCAGTAGTCGGCACCATTTTCCAATGCTCGGCATGTCTATTTGCCAGTAGTCGGCATATGGTATTTCGGTAAATAAAATATTATTTTGTATATTCTGTTTACTTCAAATAGTATAAAACAATGCTATATTACTAATTCACAGTTCAATCCAGAATTTGAAAATAATTTCGTTTTCAAATAGTGTTTTATTTAATTATCATTCTAAACCAAATATAGGTAGAAAATCAAGAATAGTATGGTTACCTTCAGTAACGTATGGATTTTCAATTAAAATAGAAATGAGATTAAATAAAAAAAGAAAAAAGTAACTCTCTTTTTTTCTGTTCCTAATGTCGGCATTAAATAATATAACAGAAAAATGCTTGATTTGTATGTTTTTAAGTTATAAAACGATCTTTAGACTGTTATTTACTATTAAAAAATATTTCTGATTCCAAAAGTATCAAATTTAAATAACTGAAATCGATTATTAAGTTGATAAGAAAATCGAACATTTATATCCAATTTTTGGATATTGTATTAGCAAAAATGTTTATATGCGTGAAATTTGAAAAGTGTTGATTGCTTCTTTCGCTTTCTTTGATCGTTGTGTTTTTCAAAATTCTGAACCCTATGTGGGGCAGATAGCAAAAGAAATAGTCCGATCTCTTCCATTTTTATAACATCTTGTGTTGATGGAAATATATTGGGATGTACCAAGTTCTGAATGGAATCGGATGCCAATTTCGCTTTTTATGAGCTTAATGGATATTCAAAATTGAACCGATACATTCTATCTTAACACCAGATCTTGGGGTTAAAAAATATTGGAATGTGTGAAATTTTAAGACAATCGGATTTTTACATCACATTTTATGAGATTTGTAATTATTTAAAATTTTGACCCTTTGTGGGGAAGGTACCCGAAGGAGTTGACCTGTATTGTCCATTTTCGCACCAGACCTAGGACTAGAACGATATATTTCATTTCAACACCAGATCTTGAGTTAATATATATATTGGGATGTGTGGAATTTGAAGACAATCGGACTTTTATATCACATTTTGTGAAAGTTGTAAGTATTCAAAATTTTGACCATTTCTGGGGGGGTACTTGATAGAGTGGACCGATATTGTCCATTTTCACACCTGACCTAGCACTGATGCAAATATTAAGATTTGCAAAGTTCAAATCATAAATTCCATATTCAGCTCAGGTTTCTGACAAAGAAAGACATATTTAGATATAGCAAGTTGTAAAGAAACCCCGACTTATCACAGATAAAATTATCGAAAATTGTGATCCTTTGTGAGTGAGGTATCAGAAGGGATTCACAGATATATATATCATCTGCACAACAGATATTGTATTAGGAAAAATGCTTGTATATGTGGAATTTGAAGAGTGTTGATTGCTTATTTCTCTTTTGTTGATCGTTGTTGATCGATCTCTACCATCTGTATAACAGATCTTGTGTCGATGGAAATATTGGGATGTACCAAGTCTTGAATGGAATCGGATGTCAATTTCGCTTATTATGAACTTCATGGATATTCAAAAGTTTGAGCCTGTGTGGAGAAGGAAACATTTTGGTTATTCAAAACTTTGACCCTTTGTGGGAAGGTACCAGAAGGAATGATCCGATCCCTACCGTTTTATTTTAACAGATCCTGTGTTAATAGAAATATTCTGATGTGCTGAAGTCGAAATGGAATCCGATGTTAATTTCGCGTTTCATGAGCTTAATGGGTATTCAAAATTTCGACCTTTTGTGGGATGTGGTACCCGAAGGAGTGGACCCATATTGTCCATTTTCGCACCAGACCTAGGACTGGACCGATATATTCCATTTCAACACCAGATCTTGAGTCAATATATATATTGGGATGTGTGGAATTTGAAGACAATCGGGCTTTTATATCACATTTTGTGAAAGTTGTAATTATTCAAAATTTTGACCATTTGTGGGGGGGTACTTGATGGAGTAGACTGATATTGTCCATTTTCACACCTGACCTAGCACTGATGCAAATATTAAGATTTGCAAAGGTGGAGCAAAATCGGATTATCCTTTCTCTTTCTGTGCAAAAAAATATATTTTTTTTTTTGAAAATTTCGCCCAGTTGTGGGGGAGGTACCAGAAGGAGTGGACCGATATATTCCATTTTCATATTTCACCTAGCACTGACGCAAATATAAGGATTTACAAAGTTGGAGCAAAATCGGATTATCGTTTCTCTATCTGTGCAAAAAATACTTTTTTTCAAAATTTCTACCATTTGTGAGGGAGGTACCAGAAGGAGTGGACTGATATATTCCGTCTTAACACCAGACCTTGGGTTAATATAAATATTGGGATGTGTGAAATTAGAACACAATCGGACTCTTACATCACATTTTATGAAAGTTGTAATTATTTAAAATTTTGACCCTTTGTGGGGAAGGTACCCGAAGGAGTTGACCTGTATTGTCCATTTTCGCACCAGACCTAGGACTAGAACGATATATTCCATTTCAACACCAGATCTTGAGTTAATATATATATTGGGATGTGTGGAATTTGAAGACAATCGGACTTTTATATCACATTTTGTGAAAGTTGTAAGTATTCAAAATTTTGACCATTTCTGGGGGGTACTTGATAGAGTGGACCGATATTGTCCATTTTCACACCTGACCTAGCACTGATGCAAATATTAAGATTTGCAAAGTTGGAGCAAAATCGGATTATGCTTTCTCTTTCTGTGCAAAAAATATATTTTTTGAAAATGTCGACGTTTTGGGGGGGGAGGTACCAGAAGGAGTAGACCGATATTGTCCATCTCCGAACTCGATCTAAGTTTGTCAAAAATATTACCATGTGCCAAATTGGACTGAATCGGATACTCCCTTCGAGAGTTATCGTGCGCACCAGCCAACTTTGGTACTCTATCAAGTACCTCCCCCACAAATGGTCAAAATTTTAAATAATTACAACTCTCATAAAATGTGATGTAAGAGTCCGATTGTCTTCAAATTTCACACATTCCAAGATTTATATTAATCCACGGTCTGGTGCTAAGATGGAATATATCAGTCCACTCCTTCTGGTACCTCCCCCACAAATGGTCGAAATTTAATATATATATATATATATATATATATATATATATATATATATATATATATATATATATATATATATATATATATATATATATATATATTTATATATATAGATATATATATATATATATATATATTAAATTTCGACCATTTGTGGGGGAGGTACCAGAAGGAGTGG